CACGGCCAGACTTCTGTGATCGCCAGATCGACCTATATTTAATCTGGCCCGTTGGGCTCATATGTTCATATAAGCTAATGGGCTAATCCCAGTTTTTTCCATATATGTATAGTTAACCACCCCTCAAAATACAAAGGTTCAAGTTAGAAGGAATTGTGATGGGTGTTTTTATCAAAACAATCATTACTTTTTTATTAAAAAATTATTTAAATAGGTAATTCTACCATTAAAAAAAGGCAAATTTGAAATTTTTACAAAAATACAATGACATTTTGGAAGTTAATGTCTTGGAGCTTTATTTATAGAGTGCCTTTGTCTTTTAATTAAAATTTCAACTTTACCCTTTATGGAGATGACAATAGTACCTTTTGTCATGTTGTAATATTTACAATTTTTCCCCACAAAAATAATGCTTTTTAAAAAATAAACTACAAAATTAATAAATTCACCCTTCACAACTGTCTTTATCTTGAACCTTTGTAATTTGAAGGGTCGTGAAGTTTAGATTATCCTTATATATATATAAATATATATATATATGAAAAATTATTCAATATGCCTTCTCTCGTATTTGCACCTGTATGCCAACGGCTATGATTTTCCTTTTCCCTCCGATGGAGATCTCGCGGTACCCAATGCGAGCAGTCGCCATCTGACATTTGCAAGAACGGCTCGAGCAGTCTCTCAAGATTACGTTCGCACAGACGGCAACTCTCACTCTCTCCACAGCAACTCACTCTCGATCTCTTCTCCAACTCTCACTCTCTCCTGTCTCTCCCTCTCTCGCCCTTGTTGTCTCTCATCAACAATGATGGCTCTCCACGACAACTCTCTCTCTCTTCTCCAGCTTTCTCTCCCTCTCCCTCTCTCTCTCTCGTCTCTCCCTCTCGCTCCACAGAAACTCTTTCTCTTGTCAATCTCTCTCTGCTGCCCCTGGCTCCACCCAACTCTCTCTCTCTACTCTCAATCTATCTTACACTCTCTAATCTCCCTCTTTGCTGCTACACACCTCTATCAGAGATTGGCCAACTCAAACTATCTCGCCCCTCAATCAATCTCCCTCTTTGCTGCCCTTTTGATGCTGCCCCATTGCTGCCACCAAAAGCATATCATCTCTCACTCAATCTCCCTCTTTCTGCCCCGTTGCTGCTGCCTTCTCTCTCTCTCTCTCTCTCTCTCTCTCTCGTTGTTGCCTCGTTATTGCCATTGCTGCTGATCCCTTGCTTGATTGGGACAATATTTGGGATTTGAGGTTTATCCAAGGTTCAGCTATGCATCTTTGCCCCTTTTTTATTGAAACTATGGTGGGCAATGAAGTGCAGCTTGTTTCATCACTCAAATGGTATTCCACCACCACCTTGTGGATACTAGAGTTCAATGTGAATGTATTATTGTTTCTGATAGAAAAATGCATTAGTTTCTGGATCTTAGAGGATGTGAGATGTATCTGAGATGATACAGGAACAGGGAGAAAGATGGGGTTGGGTTAATTTGAATGCTGGATATTTGAAACCCAATGATCTTATTTGTGCCTAACTTAGAAAAACTCCATTAGTCAAGTGTTTGTATAATTGTTGTGTGTGTGTGCGTACTTGTTGGTGTGGGGTACATATGGATGAATGTGACCCCTATTATGTTATTTTTAGAAATGGAAATTCTTGAAAATTTTTAATTGCAGAGAGTATATGAATGCAGGTTCATGGGGTTATACTGAAATGCAAGTGTTTGTATAATTGTTTTGTGTGTGTGCGTACTAGTTGGTGTGGGGTACATATGGATGAATGTGCCTCCTGTTATTTATTTTTAGAACTGGAAATTCATGAAAAATTTTAATGGCAGAAGAGTATATGCATGCAGGCTCATGGGGTTATACTGAAATGCAAGTGTTTGTATAAGTGATGTGTGTGTGTGCGTACTAGTTGGTGTGGGGTACATATGGATGAATGTGCCCCCTATTATCTTATTTTTAGAAATGGAAATTCGTGAAAAATTTTCATTGCAGAGAGTATATGAATGCGGGTTCATGGGGTTATACTGAAATGCAAGTGTTTGTATAAGTGCGGTATGTGCGTGCGTACTAGTTGGTATGAGGTACATATGGGTGAATGTGCCCCCTGTTATGTTATTTTTAGAAATGTAAAGTCGTGAAAAATTTTTATTGCAGAGAGTATATGAATGCGGGTTATACTTAAATGCAAGTGTGTTTGTTGCTTAAATATGAGTATAAGATGTTGAAAGTGAATTAGATAGGCCAACAAGATGTCAAAAAACTTTGTAAAGTATTGACTCATGTTACTTTATTGTAAGAACATTTATAGAACTTCCATAGACAATCTATTATGGTTATTCTTTTGTGACATTTGTAATATAGTGTTTTGATAGGACAACTCAATTGATTTTTTCAGATAATATTTGCAATTATCTACTTATGTGGTTTGGTTTTTTTATGTATAGTCAGTTGAAATATTTATATGGACCCCACAATATCTGTCGATGCAACATCTTCCCTATGCCCAATTGTTGACAACACGAACGACACTATTGCGACCATGGAGCAGGTTTCTTATCTTACAGAAATGCGAGATGGGGAACATGTCTCAACAACAAAGGGCTTACAAATCGAAGAACCATATATAGAGATGAAGTTTGGTTATGAGAATGAGGCATATGAGTATTATAAGGAGCATGCATTAGCCAAAGGTTTAGACGTCTGTAAGGGGACTACCCACATTAAAGATGGTCAAAGGATTGATAGAGAGCTAAATTGTTCTAAGGAAGGGTTTCGTCGAGAGAAAGATCGGGTAGGTGAAAAGGTACACCCTAAATCAAGGTGTGGTTGTATGGCTAAGATGGGCCTAAGTAGAAATGTAAATAATGAGTGGGTTGTGACTAAAGTTATTACGAAACACAATCACGATCTTTTGTCTCCAAGAAAAGCTCATTTAATTCACTCACATTGAACATTGTTAGGCGCTGCAAAGTTGATACAACATACAAAACAAACACCTATGGTATGCCATGTGCACCCATTCTTGGTGTAAATCATCATCACAGTACAACTTTCTTTGGATTTGCGCTCATTTTTAATGAGAATGTCGAATCATTTGTATAGATATTTGAAAATTGGTTAGAAGCTATGGGGGGACGTCAGACTGGTGTTATTCTCACTAATCAAGACCCTGCAATTTCGAATACAATGAGACGAGTTTTAGACCAAAGTAAGCATCATTATTGTAAGTGGCATATACTATCAAAAATTAAAGAAAAAAATGTGCCATGTCTTGCGCATACATCCAAATTTTTCAGAAACCTTCAGGAGGTGTGTGACTAGTGCAACAGTGGAAGAATTTGAATTGGGGTGGAAAAATATGTTTGAGAATTATAGCCTGGAAAGTAATGAGTGGCTTACTAGGCTCTATAGTTATCACATGCAATGGGTCGATGCATACTTGAGTGACACATTTACAGCAGGTATGACTTCGAATAAGCACTTCAAGATGTACGTAGCCTCTCCAACAAGCTTACATACTTTATTAGAAGTGACAACAAAGGTGCAAGATAAGAAGGTGTGAAAGGAAAGGGAAAATGATGTAAGAGACATTAACACTACTCCAATATTGAGAACAACTTCTTTTATTGAGGCCCAGGCAGCAAAGATCTATACTCAAAAGATTATGAAGCTATTTGGGGAAGAGGTTGTGAATTGTATTAATTTGGTGAGTGAACCAATTGAAGACAATGGATTGCTTGCCACTATTAAGGTGGCAATGAATCTAGACTCTACCTTGTTGAATTCAATTCCAATGACAAGAGCGTTTGTTGCAACTGTCACTTATATGAGAGGATGGATCTTCTTTGTAGGCATATGTTGAAGGTTTTTATGGTGAATAATGTATTTAAAATACCCCCCCCACAATACATAATGAGGCATTTGAGAAATGATATAAAAAATGGGGCTTTTATCGATGAGAGTGACAATCAAATTCAAGAAACAACTCAGCTACCACGCTCCATTCGATATAATGGGGTCTATCAGGCAACTCGATACCTCATCGAGCGTGCTTCAGAGAGTGCAGAGCTCCATGAATTTATAATGGCGATAATACGCAGGGTAATTTGTCAAGTTGATAGCCGATTCAGGCGCAAGGGAGGTCCACATAGTGATGTCACAATCAATTGTAATGCTGAAAAGTATGGTAATGTTGAAACAAATGCTAATATCGATGAGAATGCAGTTAGGTGTAGTGACACACCAATTGAAAGGGATCATTGCCAAAACATCCTTGAGCCTCCACAAGGGACAAAGGGAAGACCTACCAATAAACGAAAGAAAGCTCAATCAGAAGGGTGGAAGCCGAAGGAAAATACGAATAAGTCGAAGGAAAAGACCAAGAAGTGCGCGTTGTGCAAGGGCAGTGGGCACGACAAAAGAAACTGTCTGTCATTCATTCGTGCAAAGTAATAATGCATAGCATTAGTATTTCTTGAATTTTCATTTTACAAGCTTCTTAACTCTGGATGTAGTAGAGCTTACTTATAATTGTAGGACTTTTAAATGTAATATGAAATGCTAACAATGAAAATTCATCTTAAGGAGCACTATGAATTGTGGTGATTGCTTGCTTGTTGTATAGTGATTGATTGTAGGGATTGGTTTTGACATTGTGGATATTGCTGAATAGTATTAGTATCTCTTGAATTTTCATTGTACAAGCTTCTTAATTTTGGATGTAGTAGAGCTTACTTATAATTGTAGAACTTTTAAATGTAATATGAAATGCTAACAGTGCAAATTCATCTTAAGGAGCATTATGAATTGTAGTGATTGCTTACTTGTTGTATAGTAATTGATTGTAGGGATTGGTTTTGACGTTGTGGATATTGCTGAATAACATGGTGTCTAACCTAGTATAACACATTGTGGATTTCTCATGTACCTGCTGTCTAACCTAGTATAGACCATTGCATATATGGTGTTACCTTATACTAACATTTGGAAGTGAGCAGCAAGAGATTTCTTTAGATAGCCTTCTCAATATTGAAGTGAGCAGCAATTGATGTGCCATGTGTTTCCTATCTTCTTTTGGCCATGCCTTCTTCACCCTTTATCCTCAATATGGAATGTGATTGAGATGCATATCACCATTCTACAGTACTTGTTTGATCTATAGGTACATTACTCAACATTCATTACAAGATGTTAGTATACCATATCCTCAATATTGAATGTGATTGAGATGCATATCAGCATTCTATAAGTATGTTTTCTTTGTATACCATGCAACAGTGGTGGCAGATGATATAGTATGTCATAAATACTTAAAGTGACTAGCCGATTCTATATTTCACAGTTTATCATTGATATTGAATGACTGATTCTTGCAACAACTCTAATTTCAGGTGTTGAAAACCATTCAATTAGAGGTTTGCAAGGGATGCAGGCTGGTGTTCAGTCGAATTTTCCCAGCTAATAGCATAACAACTTGGAGCATCATGCTCCAAAGAGCTCGATGAAGCAGTCACTTATGTGGTTTTGTGCTTGGGAAGCAGGAAGGAAGTGTCTAGTAATGGCCCTGGGGATACGTGTGCTCTTCTTCTTTTCTAATGGTTTTGTGGCTTCCTTCTTGTTCGGCAATTGAGAAAGTGAAGACTGATAAGAATGATAAGCTTTATCAGGATGTGTAGATTTCGAAATATTTTTGTCCATTCCAATGCCATTCACATTTTTTGTCCATTCAAATGCGTTTCACATTCAAATCCCATTCAATATTTTTGTCCATTCACATTTTTATCCATTCAAATGCCATTCACATTTTTATCCATTCAAATGCCATTCACATACAAATTCCATTCAATATTTTTGTCCATTCAAATGCCATTCACAATGCCATTCACAATTTTCTCCTTTCAAATGCCATTCACATTCAAATTCCATTGAAAATGCCATTCACATTTCTATCCATTCAAATGCCATTCACATTCAAATCCCATTCTATATTTTTGTCCATTCAAATGCCATTCACATTCAAAATGCCATTCACATTCAAATTCCATTCAAAATGCACACATCATTAGGGAAATATATATATATATATATATTTATATAACATATATATTTATAAAAATATGTTTTTTGTGATGAATATGAGAATATATATATATATATATTCAATAAAAAAAATTTGTATTCCAAGTATTAAATTTTAGGGAGACATTTTTTATGAATGATTTGATTTTGTAGAGTCATTTGATTCAAAAAACACTTAGTATTCCAAGTATTCTTTAAGTATCGGACTACCTGTTGGCTATACTTCATTATACAATTGTCATAAAGCCTTAGGATTTTATATCTTTATGTATGCAGCAATGTGATGAAAAATAGATATATTTAGTTGTTCAACTTTAATTGTGTTTAAAGCCCTTTTTTTATAGAGATTTCAGTTTTGACAATATATCTTATTAGATCTTCAGTTTTGATCAATATACAGAATTGATCTATTGTACTAGCTTGTAGAACTCCTAGGAGCAATGCATGCTTTATAGTCTAAACTTATAGCAAGGAGTGTATTAAATTCCACTTTTGGAAAGTGGATGTATTTTTCCCTTCTGATGCATCCATTTAGAACTTTTTGAGAAATACTTTTTACCTTGAATATATATTCATGGCAAGGGTCACTATCACATGAAATGCAAACTGCTCATCAGGAATTGAGGTATCTTTATATGGATACTTCTTGTTTTAGGTTGCTGCTCTTATTCAATTTCATAGTGTACCATGTGCTTTGGGAAAGGTTTGAGCACTTACTTTTATTCATATTCCCCATTGAAGGATTTAATTGACTTTAGCCCTCTAGAAAACATATTTTTTAGTATTACCCCGTGCTTCTCCAATAACTGGGAAAATCAATTCAATCTCGGTTTAAAAGCACCACATTTCTTAATGCATTGCCCTCATGCATGGCTTTTTCAGCTTTCATGGTCTAGAGGCACACATGCATGTTTTTTAATGAGAAATATTAATTGAATGACATGGTGATTCATGGTCATCTTATTTATAATTTTTTTTTCTATTGGATGTTATTGTAACTTGTTCATTTTCATGAGAAAGTAGGGCTTAAATATCCATGCTCACAAGGACCCCTTAGTAGAGTGATTTTCCCAAATAAATATTTTTTTAATGAATTTTTATGTTCAAGAAAATTTAGAAGAAAATAGTAAGATGAGAAGGGGAGATGTGACATGGCAGTATGGTGTAAAAGTGAATGACAAAGGAAAAGTTCGATGTAATTTTTGTAACAAGGAAATGGGTGGTGGTATTATCCCTTAAAAGAAAATCTTGCTTAGGTAAAGGGTAACGTCACCGGTTGTAAAGAAGTGCCACAAGAAGTAAAACAACAAATGATAAAATTAATTACATAAAGAAAAGAAAAAAAAGTGCAGAGAGAAAAGGATGCAGATGAGATAGGGAGGGGGGTACGAAATTCCAATAGATGAGGAAGATGACCAAGAGGCAGAATTTGAGACGTAAATGGAACGATCTAGTATTCAAGAGTTTAATTATAGATAAATGGAAATTCAAGAGATGTATGGGAGAACGGATGACGCATCCAATAGCCGTCAACGTCAAGAACATATAGTATCGGGTAGGGGAGGATGTGGGCCTTCATTGCTTAGATCCACATCTAGTAGATTGAGAGGTAGTTTCTCTAGTCGTCCATCCTCTTATAGTCGGCCATCTACTATTCAACGACATGAACCCATAGATGTGCCATCAATGATCCGCAAACCCTTTGTAGTTGATCCCCACAAGTCATAATATCATAAAAAAAAAAATTAAAATTCCGTCAGCAGATGTATTAATAAAAAAAGCGAAAAAGATGATTAACATGTTCTGGTATGCTAATGCACTGCCATTTAATTCTACAAGCTCAAATTTCTACCCACAAATGGTAGCTTCTATAGTTGAGGCAGGGCCTAGTGTTAGAGGTCCAACTGCGAAGGAGTTTGCAGGGCCATGTTTAGAAGCTGCTGTTCATGATGTTGATAAGTATATTGCACAATTCAAGGTCTGTTGGCCAGGTATAGGAGTGACCATCATGACTGACACTTGGAAGGACAAGTCCCATATGTATCTTGTCAATTTTTTAATAGGTTGCCCTAGAGGCATTGTTTATAACTCTAGCATTAATTTATCAAGAAAGAGACATACTGGGAGACTGATATTCGTACACATAGACAAAATTGTAGATGAGGTTGGGCATGAAAATGTGGTCCAATTAGTGATTGATAATTCTGCGAATTACAGAAAATCATGCTTGTTGCTAATGGAGAGAAGACCCAATCTTTATTGGATTCCTTATGCTGCCCATTGTATTAATTTGATGCTCAAGGAAATAAGGAAGTTAAAGAGGGTTAAATATTGTATTTTGAAGAGCAAGTTGATTACAAGATTTATATACAATCACACGTATCTCCATGCTTTGATGAGGGAGCATTGCATGCGAGAGATTGTCAGGGAGTCCACTACTAGATTCGCTACAGTGTTCCTTACAATACAATCGATATTGGTAAACAAGGCAGGATTGAGGTCAATGATACGCTCTAATGAATGACAGACTGATAGGGCAGCAACTTGGAAGGCAGGTTGAAACCACCCTTCTCGATCGGAGGTTCTGGGCTCGATGTAACCATGTTGTTTCTGTATCTGAACCTTTAGTACGGGTGTTGAGGTTACGTGACGCTGATGATAAACCTGTAATGGGGTTTCTGTTCGATGCAATGAGACGTGCAAGGGAAGCTATATTTGAGAATAGCATATGGAATGAAGAGATATTAGATATTGTTGATCGTAGGTGGAGAGACAAACTACACCAGGATATTCATGCAGCAGGTAATTTATGATTCACTGTCGCAATTCGTGACTCTTTCTCAACTCCGAGAAAAGTTACCGTAATTAATAATATAACAAACCACGTGCATGGTTCTTTCTTAATCCACAAAATTTGTACTCCAATGCCACTTTAGATGATGCAGATATCTTGGATAAGAAACTGCATCTATATGCTTAAACTTAATCTTGAAACTCAGATGGAGTGTATGCAACAGGTAAACTTTAATCAAAACATGTATGTAATAAAATTTCACAATGAATTGCATTTCTATGTAATACTAATTTCTTGTATATGCATCTTGTTATTTCTAGCTTATCATGTACATGGAAAAAAATGAGGAATTTGCATACAACAATGCCAAAAAGCAGTTGCAAAATTGCACCCAGGTTTGTTTTAAGTTAAAACTTGCAATAATTTAGTACACTACTATTTGTGGTTTTTTTTAAATCAATTTATTTTCTATTGTTAAGTATTCTTATGTTTGTCTGTCTCAGCATAATGGTGGACAATGCACAGAATTCGAACAAAGCAATTACAAAAGATTGTTGATAGAATTTTTAATCAAACCTGTGCTGCCTCGGGCTGTGAGAGAAACTAGAGTGCATTTCAGTGGATACACGCCCCGAGGCGGAATAGGTTAAAGACACAGACGCTGCACAACTTGGTGTACGTTCATTATAATTTGAAATTGACAGAGAAACATATAAGGAAGACCCCCACAGACTACACGTTGATCAACCTTGATTATATCTTTCAGAGGGACCTCGTCGATGAGTGGGTGTCACGAAGGACCCCATTACTAGACCAAGATTTTCTTAGTGGGTCAGTTGCCGATATGGATGATAATGTAAATGTTGCAGCATCCAATGAAGGAGCCATGGCAATGGACATGGATGATGATTATACACAGGATGAAGATGAGGCACAGAATGATGAAACAGATGAGACAATGGAAAACAATTGGCAAAAACCAGTCATTCAGGAATGTGAAGGGGCGCAACATGATGCGGTGGCTGATGAAGAGGAAGATTTAATGAGATTGGCTCGGGAGGAAGTCTAGGCATCGAGGCATAGCAGTTACTCAATAAGGGAGAGACGAACCGTAGCCGTTACTGTAACCTGATTATTCATGATGATGACAATATTGAAGATATTGAGGGCCATAACACAAGATAGGGTGGGGGTAACACAGAATAGGGTGCAGGTAACACAGAACAGGGCGGGGGAGAGCATGAAGGCTGGACGAGTCTAGGAGACTTTGGCCAAGGGGGTACCACAAGAAATATTCCTGACTAGCGAGGGGGAACAACTGCGGCATTACAGACTCTACCAAGCCTTACTAAGATTTTTCATCCCATAAATCCTGATAGTGAAACACATCAATATCATGATCCCCCTCGCCGCTCTCATTACTACTAGCATTGTTAGTTGGACTTTGTAACTTCATTAATTGAATTAAAGCCAAATTCTAAATTGTCTTGCATATCTTCATAGCATTCAAATATTAATTTATATAAAAAGTTGTTTCAATTTTTTTTGTAAGATAAATTTATGTAATATAATAGTATACACTTAATCTAAGTTTTTCTATTTTTTTCAATTTTTTTTTAAATTTTTTTGGACGTTTTTTACATTTTTTTTTGTTTTTTAAAAATTACTTGATCAGTTAAAACGGTTAACCGCCCAGGTTAATCCGGTTCCAGCTCAAAATGTTCTCAACCCCAAAACCGATTAACTGTTCCGATTCGATTTTGCGAACATTGACCAGACCCAAATAAGAAAGGAAACTTTTTTCATCATATTGAGAACGAATCTTAGAGCAAACCTTATGACAAGCACAAAGACAACTAAAACCCCCAAAACCCAAATCAAATGATTGATATCACTTGTAAAAATCAAAATAATGCACCAACATAGTATCCTAAAAAAATAAAGATTAAAAAAAAAAACTAAAATAGATTCAAAGATATCCTAAAAACATAAAGAAATTGACTTTAGAAATAAAACTAAAACAGGAAAGGGAAAAAGATTCAAAGATAGCATACGAAAACCTCGAGTGAACCTCAAACCTCAAATCTACTGAAGATTGCTCAATCATCTTTGCAGCAGCAATGGAGCACAATGTTTTTTGAAATTTCAGAAATTTTTTGTATTTTAGGTTGTATTTGTAGAGAGCTCAATGTTTTTTGAAATTTCAGAAATTTTTTGTATTTTAGGTTGTATTTGTAGAGAGAGGGGGGCATAGAGGGAGATTGAGAGAGTGGGGACCCAAAAGGAACTTGATGGAGGTTAATAGCAGAGGAGTCACAAAGGTTTGTTAAGCATAAACTTCATGCATAGTGACTAAATCTTGGTGTTGTCTCAATTCATTCTTGCAGTTCAATTGAAATTACAATACATTAATATTGTGCACAGAATTGATACGAACATAGTTTTGTTGCCCTGTATCTGTTCACAGTGACACATTGAATGACTAAAAAACCAAAACCTCCCAAAACCAAAATGGAACAAACAAAATCGAAATACAAAGGTTAAACAACAGCATACCTGAACCTCGGATGAACCTCAATCTACCGAAGGTTGTCTCAATTGTCTTTGTAGCAACAATAAAGCATAGAAAATTTGGGAAATTTAGAAATTTTTAGTGTTCTAAGTTATATTTCTAGAGAGTGAGAGGGGCATAGAGGGAGATCGAGAGAGAGTGGTAGCGAGAGATGTATTAAGAGGGGTAGAGAGCGGTAGTCAGGAGAGAGATTGAGAGAAAGGGGCGAGTTTCAATGAGATTGCAAGGGTTTGAGAGATAGGCCAGTGAAGGAGCAGCAGAGAGAGAGAGAGATTCCTCAAGTTTGATGGAAAGAGAGAGGGTTGGACAATGGCAGCAGGAGAGAGAGGGGTGGAAGGAGGAGAGATAGAGGGTGGGAGAGTGGCAGCAGGAGAGAGAGAGGAGTGGAAGATGGAGAAGAGCAAGAGATACCATCGTCAGAGATAGGAGAGAGAGAGAGGGCCCGCTTGCCTATGAAAGACGTGACTTGTGAAGCCTTCCTACAAATGCAGTGGTTATTGTAGCTTGAGGGTCTTTTGGCATATATATATATATATATATATATAGAAAAATGTTGAGATTAGTCCACTAGTTTATATGAGCATATGAGTTCATATGAGTCCAATGGTTCAGATTGAATTTGGTCGATTTGACGGTCACGACCTCATTTCGTATTTTAATTTTAATTTCTGTTTTACAAATTCAAATAACTTAAATTTTAAACATGTGTTCTTAAAAAATAGGATAATCTAATAAAATATCAAAAAAGTAAATTACAATAAATAAATTGATCAACATACCCTTGAAAAATTTGGAGCTATTTTGGTCAATTTATTTATTGTGAATTATTTTTTAAATATTTTTATTAGGCGTGTCTTGATGAGAAGCATAGACATCTAAAATTTCAAGTTATTTAGATTTGTATAAAAAATTTAAAATTCAAACACGAAATACTAGATTTAATCTGGGCCATTTGACTCATGTTCATATAAGTTAGTGGGCTAGTCTCAGCGCATATATATATATATATAACCAAGCTAGGTGGGGTAGGGTTAACACCGGCCTATATCCAACCTAGGTCAGATCCAGATCAAGTGGACCCAAACCCAACATCCCAAGTGTATGGGGTGGATCCAATCTTAGACGGGCATGGGTTGAGTTGACCCAAGCCATTTGACACCCCTGCCAATTATGAACAAGAGGAGATGATATCTATTGACTAATATGCAACTCAATCCGACCTTAAAGGTCATAGAAATGCTCTTTAGTTGTGGTCGAAGAAATCAAGTGCAGGATTGTGCAACCATTTATAGAAGCATCTAGCCTATCTTTCTTTTGTAGACATATAATAGACCATATCTTTCTGGTTATAACTCTTAAATGAAGCTAAACCTTTCTCACGTTCCATGTTAATTGGGCCATTTGGGAGAACTCTAAAAAGTCATAGTGTCAAGAATCACAATAGCATGAAACAAGCAAAGCAGGTGGGCTGAGTATTGAAAAGCATGTAAGATGTGCACACTCTTTGGACACAAGGTACAATAGAACAGATACAACCATGTAGTTCTTACTCGAAGACCTAAAGCTCAATTAAATATTACATCAACAAAAATGGCAAGAAATAGTTGGAATTTTCATCAGCACAAGAAGAACCCCTAAAGCTCTTTGCTATCTTAGTGCAGCTGCCAACTTCTTCTGTATAAGCTCAGCATTAAGTCGAGGGGATAGTCTCTGCAGCATTTCCTGAAATAGGAAGTTCACCGGTTGTCATGCAGGAAAGGGACAAAATCAGATAAAATAAGAAAAAAGTTGGTAATAGAAAAAATACGAGTTTAAAGCTGTTTAAGAAAAAGGAACAACTTTGTTCCCCACAATATTAAATTACTCGGCTCAGGAGAGAGAGCACCGGTTGGCCAGTAGAGAGAGGGGGGCATATGGTCGAGATAGAGCATGGGGCACATCTTTGGCCACGCAAATCTCGCTCTCACTCCTCTCTATGGAAGCATTTCTTCAAGGGGAAAAGTTTGTATAGAGCCTAGGCTTTAAACAATCAAATTAGAGCCTATCTCAAAAAATTCACTAGAAGGGGTTGTGTTGATGCCCAAATATCATCAAATTGTTCATCTCGATATCAAGATTCATGGACATGAAAAAAAATGGATTTCTAGTTTTGGAATTAGTGCATCTTGTAAATGTATTTTTTGACCGTCAATTTTCAAGTTTTTGAAGTTTTTATGGATCTGCTCGATATACACTATTTTTGAAGTTTTAAATTTTATAATTAAAGATGAAAATATGTTTGAAAGCTATTACAAAAATTTATAGTATTAAAACCATATTTCTCGATACTATTTGAAAGCGCACTCTAATTTGATTGTTTAGAGCCTCGGCTCTATACAAACCGCAACCTTTCTTCAATCAACTAGGGCCACCTCTATAACCCTAGCTTCCACCTTCTCTAGCAAATGCTCATGAGACTGACTCACAGACAGAATAGAATGATTCATTATCCGAGCCTAGGGATTCAATTGGAAGGATCTCATCCACAAGTACGTAGCCATGATATCATCGAACTCACAACCCTCTGGTTGTTCCACACTGGAATGTTTTCATGTGATGGAGAAATTAATTCTGTCATGGATTTCTCTCTCTCTTCACCCTTCTCCTCCTCTTTTTTAGCATAAACCAGAAAAAGGGAAATAACATTTGGACAGTGAGAGAAAGAGAGAGCTTTCCAAGGAAGACAGAGAGAGGTGAAAAAGGGGGTGGATTTCCGCACCCCTCTTATTTTTCTTCAGCAAGAGTATTCGGTTATGTCCTTGTACTCACCTGAGGACCGTATAGCAGTAAAGACACCCACCTCTGAGGGAGGGCATATTACTCGTCTCGGCAGGGTGCTGAGGCTGCTTAACTTTGCCGATTCCGAGTCTACTCGGCCAAGTTTTAAAACTCTAATTTATCATGATAACTTAATTGTCAAAATTAGGAAACACCATAACCAGCATAAAAGTTTCAGATATAATGCTCGAGTCACCCAAAAACACCCATATTTCGTAGACTTGAATCTTTCTTGTTTTTCTCTTTGAGACCGTTTCCCACTAATATCCATGTAAATATGAACAAAAATGAAATTTTCACAGGAATATCTCCAGATAAACTAAGATCAATTTAGAACTTGGAGTTGCTGCTATATCTGATCAGTTTACAACACAAAAAATAAAATCAAATAAAACAATGTGAGAATTAAAAGATAATTTAGCCCGTTTTTATCATGAAGCAGACTTTAATCCTGATAGGAATCAATTTATTGAACTTTCAAGAAAACCAATCAGGCAATGAGAAAAAAAGAGAGAGAGAAAACCCACCTCTGTGCCATCAGCAAGGACCCTCACCAAAACTGGAATCTCATACTGGTAAGCTTTCTCCCATTCACGGTTGCTTGATATATCCCTTTCCTAAATGTAAAAAGAAAACCCAATATTTTAGGAACTTTGATAGAAACTAAGGAATAAAAACAATGGAGAGAGAAAAATCAAGAAAAATGAGCAAAATTACGAATTGGGATTTTCCTATTGTGCGTTAAGTAAATTTGAAACTGAAGATCATGGAGAGAATCAGGGCCCGGAAGCTTAAAAGCAAGATGAAGCTTTTCTTTGAGGCCATCGCATAGGCAACACCCAGGCTTTGTGTATGTTATCAGTTTGGACAGATATTTTGATATAATGGAGCATAACCTCAATGAGAGTATGGTCATGTGTGGACCATATTAAGCAAATAATGTTTGTTGATACCAGATTGACCTTGATGTGCTAAACTAGTCCGTTGGGAAAAAACCCATGTTACTTGGACATAGAGATTATGCCAATGGACTATATGGGCCTTGTGTGTGATGACGACCTTTAAAGATGGGGGCGAAAGCCTCATACGCATACCATCACACTACATGCACATATGATAGCCGTTACAAGATAGCAAATTACCTTTCAGGGTAAAGCTTGTGCATGTGCGAGAGATTAACCCTATACACCATAAAACTGTGATTGTATCAGGTCTAGGTGATCATGGTACGTCTATAGGGGAGAACTTGAAATCCACTGACTGGAGTTATGAACCATTGGCTAGACTTTTGTGACCCACTAATGAGCTCCCGCATAGACTGTATGTCATGGGCAATGCTAGGTCGGTTTGAGAAAGCAATTGTGGACCGTAGTCCACAGTAGAAAGTAGAGTGCCTCAGTGTTTGTTTATGTATTCTTAGACCATATGGATCTGTCCAAAGTATTTAATTACGTTTACTTTAATGTTATATGAATTCTAGAATTGTTATTTGAATTTTTTTGAATATCTAAGTATTTTATTTATGAAATTTGGATTTATAAAAACATATAGATCAATTTTATATTGATTTAATTATTCAAATTAGATTTTATGAATTTCTAAAAATCATAAAATTATTTTAAATGATTTTAATATTGTATGGGAGACCCAAATATGTATATGGGCCTACAATGACAATTTGGTGGGGCCCATGATGTGCCACCTAGGGTGGCACGCCCCACCTTGTGGACTTTTCTTTATTTAATTCAAGCTTATGACTTGAGGGTGAAGAAAGCTTATGTTTTGGAAAGATTGTGTTTGAAGGAAACTTTGAAATTGAATAAAGAAAGTGTGAGAAGGCTTGTATTTAATTCATATGATCTTGATAATCTATCTATGGAATTGATGACTCATATATCTTATCCCACAAGTCACCAAGATCAATTATGCATATTCAATTTCCTTAGAAGATGCAAACCATTGAAAACCCTAAACCCTTTGAAGCACTTTAAAAAAGGGTGTCCTCTCCCATATCTCTACACACCAAAATCTCTTCTCTCTCTCTCTCTCTCTCTCTCTCTTCTCTCTCTCTGCCCCATAAGATTATAGAGGGGCATGCCTCAACCATAGAAAGTTTCGCTCTCTCTCTCTTCTTCTTCCATAAGGCACGCCCCAACTTTGGTTATCTCTCTCATCGCCCATCTCTCACATAGCCCAAAGGGTTAAGGATTTAGTAATGAGATACTATCTCTCTAAACTAGGTTATCAAGGGGTTAAAGCCTTAGTTTGAAATCTAAGTTTTGAAAGGAGTTCTTGCTCCATTAGAGGGTTTGGCCTAATTGTTTTATGATGTTTGAGATTTAAGGTTAACCACTGATCTTGCACCATTGGAAGGTGGTGACTCGCTGTAGGGTGTAATAATCCCGGTTGAAGTGATCTCCAGCACTCCTTCTTGTTTCTTGTCATATTTATTTCTTATGTTTGTGTTATTCCCAAGCATATTATTGTGGTTTTCTTTGATTGATAAAAGAGTGGTTTAGTGGTATCATGTTTTAGATCCTTTATTTATTATTTTTTATTTCTTTTCAAGTCAATTTATTATAATGAACTTCTTGTGAGTGTTCTGAGCTAGAAAATAGGAGAAAAAAAAGAATATACACTCCGCCTAGATCACATAAATCGAACTTTCAAGAGGATGTTTTCCTTATCAGAATGCCCATAGGAGCGAGATCAGGAGGAAGCACATTGATTTGGATTAGAGGTAAGTTTTTAACATAAAGTAAATTATATGAGAAAGAAGGTATACATAAAATATTATGCAAAGTTTTTTTGTTAGGAAAAAGTAACATTGCCAATTTGAAGAACATGTATAATACTACCATTTGGCAGTTTCACATGATTTATGAATGAAAAGAAAGATGGAGAGAACACAATGTGGTCAGTAGCACAACTATCTATGATCCATATATCATTGAATGATAAAAGATAGCAACAAAGATTACCTGTGAGATTGGACAAATGGCTTGAACTATCTACCTAGTATTTGCAAAAGTTGACAATGTTGTTTGGTTGTAAATTGAGGGGATGCTGTAGATGTAAGTTAGTTGGTTGAAGGAACTATAGTGGATTCAACATTGTAGACATGGTGCTTATTTTTCTATTTTAGATAGCCCACGAGTTTGAAACATATGTCCTTCCTGTGACCATCTGTGTGATGATAATTATAATGCATCAAGGGCCATGTACCAGTCTTGGAGTTTTTTTGGGCAATATTATGGTTTGCAGTGGGTTTCTCAGATGCATGAGACTGAACCACAGCAAAGGTTGTGGCTTTTGATGCAGTAATATATAAATTGATCTCACAATGTTGTTTTGTTTTAAGGACAAGGGAGTAGGCTTTGACAGCAGTTGGTAGTGGATCGATGAGTAAAATGTTACTACACACTACACTGTAGGACTCATTGAGACCCATTAAAAATTGAAGAGGTCGTTCTTGTTGGATATAAGTGTTGAGGTTTCTAAGTGCCCTACAAGAACATGGGGTAAAAGAAGTGAGAGAGGCTAACTCATCACATTTTTTCTTTAATTATGTGAAGTAAGAGGCAACTAAGAGTTCCTCTTGTTGGAAGGTGGCTAAAAATTTATTGATTTGTTAAAGTTGTAGGGTATTACTAGGTGAAAAACGATCTCACTGGTCAGTCCACACTTCATGTATTGTAGAGGCAAGCACAAAACTCTCTATAAGATCTTTGGACAAGGCATTAAGAAGCTAAGATAAAATCATATCATTACATCTCTTCCATAAGGACAAAGATGTAGAAGAGGACTCTGTTTTAGATAATGTTCCATCAATAAAGGCTAGCTTGTTTTCTTGGCACTTAGAGCCATGTGCATGGCATAAGCCAAAGCAGAATAATTCTTTCCTGCCCCTGTGATAGGATGTGAAACAAAAACAGTCCTTGGACTGTCGGAATGATGTAAAAAATAAGGGGATTGAGTAGTGGTAAGATCAATCTCACAAGGATTTTGATTTTTCAACAAAGAATCCATGGTGGTGTTGTTATTGATGTCAATCATGGCTTATAATGCTTTGAAGAAAGAGGAAGTGCAGCAGTATGGAGTCTCTCTAAGTTTGTAGGGGTCAGTGTGATTAAGTTATTGCCCAACACCCAAAAACCAAAATTAAGGATTGGGAAGAAGGTATAACGTCCC